CTCTCCTGTTGGTAATTACGTCATCTCTCTGTGTGCCCCTCCCAGGCCTTTCCACGTAAATTGTCGTGTGGGTCAGGTAGCTTTTATATCAGCCTCTACCTTAAATATTTCATAAAATTAGGGAGAACTTACCCTGATATATTTGTGTGAAGTCTTAATAAGCAGGTAGAAACTGAATATTTTTGTAATCAGTTTTTTCATACTCCATTTCTATTTGTAATAACATGAGTCATCTAATGGGTTATTGTTCTGTAGTATGCATTTTACTGGCTGTACTAAATGAACTTCTGAGCTGCCCATGGACTCCCTCTGCTGGCACTACAGCACATAAACACTTTTTATAAAAAAGATTTTATTTATTTATTCATGGGGGGGGGAAGAGGGAGGGAGGGAGGCGCAGGGGGAGACGCAGGCTCCATGCAGGGAGCCTGATGTGGGACTCTATCCCGGGACCCCAGGATCACGCCCCAGGCTGAAGGCAGGTGCTAAACCACTGAGCCACCCCTGGATCCCCATGTAAACACTTTCTGAGGTTGTAGGATAGACTTCTGCCCATTTTCTTTCTTTTGGTTGGTTTGCCTCTCTCCAATTATGACACAATTATAGATCATACAGTACAGAGAGTTTTGTATTTATTTGCTGAATGTATCAAAAATATCTTTCCTTATGATATCTATGCATTTCTGCATCATCATGTTCATGTTTGGATAGTTTCCTGTAATATGAATTAAATTTAGCATTTAAATAAATCAGTTTTTAGTAGGCATTTGTATTTATTTTTTCCCCATTTTATATAGCACTAAAATGAACATTCCTCATATGTGACTTATTAAGTTGAACTTGAATAGTGGATAGGAATTTGACAGGTATAAAAATATAGAGAAAAGACATTCTAGTTTGAGAAAATTGCCTAGACCAAGTTTAGGATGTTTTTGAGAAACAGGAAAATCAAGTTTGGTGGAAACATGGTGGGGCAATATTGGGAAATGGTTGTAAAGTAGGTATGGTGAACTCTTTCTAGTTCCAACCATAAGTGAAACAAAATAGAAATGTACTGGTTGAATGGGAAGCCTGGGGTAGCTGGGTCAGGGGGCTCAGATGCTGCTTCTCCATCCCTTACTTGTTTCATGTCTTCTTTCCTCTCTTCCCAGACTTGGCAGTGGTTCTCTCATCTGTAGGCAGGAGGATAGAAGAGACCCCTGCCCCCCCACCCCCCCAAAGCTTAGGTTACAGGAATTATCACTTTTGCCCATTACTCATCCAGTAAACTTCAGGGAATACCTGTTGTTGGCACTGTTTGGGTCAGACATCTACCCTTAGGCCAATCTCTATAAACAAGGGGGCCAGGGTACCTACCTGGGCCAGATCTGAAGCACATGCCCAAGCCTTAAGCAAGGAGTAGGTGGGAACTCTGATAGGCTATCGCCCCACAGAGCAGGCGACATGAAATTCCTCAAGAGAAAGAGACAGGTCTTCACCACAATGGCTGGTCTCTACCAGAACACTCCAGGGACGTCTGAAGTAGGGCATGGTCAGTGAGAGAAGAAAAGAAGAAACGATGAAAAAGGCAGACAGTGCAAGTTGGAAGAACAGCTTCTGGTGGTGCCTCTTTATGTACAGCAGGAATTCTTGGCAGTGACTCCTGGGAGGTGGGGCCTTGGGATTTAGGACCACGCATTTAGTGATAGGAATATGGTAAGGAAAACTGGTGAGTTCAGTCTTAGGCTTGTTGATTTTGAAGTTCTTCTCGAATACCCAGTGGAAGTGTCCAGCACGACAGAACCAAATCTTACCTGGTTTTTCCTTCCTTGGACCAATAGCTCAAGCAGGAAATAAAGAGTAGTCATTGATACAGAGGCTTCTCTCCTTGTTTGGGCTGTACCACTAGATGCTTTCTGAGTCCCTTCCCTTTTAGCTTCTACCTGCAGCACATCCTGTTCACCATTTCCAGAGTCATCTTTGTAAAACTTTTTATCCTGTCTTGACCTCCCTCAAACACCTGTAGTGGGTTTTTTGTTGTTGTTGTTGTTGTTTGTTTTTTGTTTTTTTCGCATATCCTATTAAGTATAAAAGTTGTCACTCAGGCGCTTTAATGGTTTGTCCTCAAGCTACATTTCCATCTTTTATATCTTACAGCTTCCCTTTCTTGGTATGTGAATCTCGAGTCAGCTGAATTTTTGCTGTTCCAGTAACATATCCGATGCTATTCCCACCTCTAGTCTTCCAGTCTGACTTTTCTTACATGCTAGCGTGCCTTGACTGGGATTTGATTGGAGAACTGCAGGTGGTTCAGAGAGACATGATGTTACCCCAAGATTGTACCTAAGCAGGTAGTGTAAAAAGTTTTAGTTGTCACTTAAAGTCTAAATCCTCATATTTATAAATAAGGTAAGCAGTGTCCACAAGAACTATTATTTGCTTTCTTCATTCCACACTGAGTAGAGCCAGAACTTCTGGCTAGGCATCACAATAGAAAATGCAGTGCCTGCCATGAAGGGGAGGATGGGGAGGCACTGGGGGACAGGCCGATGGACATGTTGCCTTCTGTGTGCCACTGCTGGAGTGAGTGCTGGCACTGGGGGACAGGCCGATGGACATGTTGCCTTCTGTGTGCCACTGCTGGAGTGAGTGCTCCCACAGAAACTGGGAGCGCTTCTGAGAGAAGGTGGCATTTCTGCCTGAGTCTTGAAGGATGAATGACTTCAGCAGGCAGAAAAGAGGCAGCATGTCAGGCAGAGGATATAGCATGGATGTCAACACTGAAGGTCAAGGACGTGGGATTTTTGAGGGATGGTGAGAAGTATGGAGGTGGCCGTGGCTTGCATTGTATGTATGTCTGTGTTTTATCTTCTGTCGTAGTTTGGTCTGCTCTAATAAATTACTGTAGACTGGGTGGCTTATATCAACAGACATTTATTTCTCACAGTTCAGGAGGCTGGGAAGTTCAAGATCAAGGTGCCAGTCGATTAGATTCCTGGTGAGAGCCCTTTTCCTGGTTGGCACATGCTGTCATCTTGTGTCCTCACATGGTGGTGAGAGAGAGCTAGAGCTAGCTGTCTTCCTACAAGGATGCTAATCCCATCCTGGGGCAGCCTCCTCCTGGCCTCATCTGAACCTTATCACCACCCACAGGTCCCATCTCCTACAACCATCACTTGGGGTGAGGGGTTCAGCATGCAAATTTTGGGGAGACACAGACACTCAGTCCGTAACACTTTCTAATACTTGCGGTTCTAGGGGGAAGAATAAATACTGGGAGGGAGAACTGTTTTTTCTACCAATTATTTAGTGACCAAATACAGAGAGTATTGAGAAGGCCAGGGGCCCCATCAACCACACTCTAATCCAAAGACATGATGTCCATCCCACTGAGATAAGGGAGTGGATTTCTTGGATTTCAAAAAACCAGAAAATTCATTTTTTCATATAATAATAAAGAAGGCTTTATATTCTATTTCCAAAAATAGACTTAATAGCATTGACAGTTGCTCAAATTTTGGTAAATTTTAGAAGAAAAAGGCAGATTTTTGTTGTTAAAAATAAACTTTGGGACACCTGGGTGTCTCAGTTTAAGTATCTGCCTTTGACTCAGGTCGTGAGTCCTAGGATAGAGCCGTGCATCAGGCTCCCTGCTCGGTGAAGAGTCTGCTTCTCCATCTCCCTCTCCCTGCTGTTCCCCCTGCTTGTGCTCTTTTTCTCTCTCTGTCAAATAAATAAAATCTTAAAAAAAATTAAACTTTTAAAAACTTCAGGAAGATAAAGGCTTGCCAAAAATAGAGTATCAACCTGAGGGGAAAAATAGAAAATGAATCCTAAGGTGAGATGAACAGAGGACTGTCTTGGTGCAAATATGTTGTATATGCTAGACACAGAGTATTTTTTAATGCCTAAAATATTTTAGGTTTTATATTTGCTTCCAGTCAAGGGAGAGCATATTTTTTATCAGGTCGACTTGTAGAGATAGAATACTGCCTTCTTGGTTGTGTGGTGATAGACCATTGCCCACCTAGGAAGAGGGGTTGCCTTCATTTTTACCTCGTTCAGAGTAGGTGAGCCATTCACTCAACAGCGGCAGAAACTTCCAGTGCTATCTCTTGAGCCGAGGCCGTGGTTAACATAGAATGGGTCTGCAGATAGACTTGTGTCAAAGAAAATAAATTTGATGACTTAGAAATTTGGCTCACAGGTACCCGAGAGCAGGTCACTCTGCAGTGTGTGCCCTGAGGGGGGCACTCTGTGGCTTCTTGTGTTTGCACACAGGTTAATTGCAGACCTGGCAGGGGCATGGCCTAAACCAGGAAGGGGCCCCAACACCTGGGACCTTTCCCTCCAGAGCTGCTGCTTCTCTTCACAGGGTATGTCACGAAAACACCATCTTTCCAGAAAAGGAGAGGAAAGGGAAAGAAAGAAAAAAAGGAGGGAGGGTGGGAGGACAAATTTTTGTGACACTAAGCCAGACATTAGATAAGGTAATAATGGAAATGTAGCTTTATTTCTATACGAAGTCATACTTAGAAAGCTGATCGCTAAAGCAGGAAGCTTGGCTTTTAAGGACTCTGTTGTAATCCTGGGTGGAAAAAAGTATCACCCAGATGGCCTTTGGAGGAGATTACTGACTGGTAATCCTTCCTTGTCCTAGAAGATTAAGTCTGCCCTGGTGTAGTTGTGGTCAGCTGACCGGTTTAGAAAAAAAAAATTGTGGTTTCTTGTAATTGTGCCAGTGCCTGACGTTGGCTTGAACTGTTTGTACATCTGGGAGATACTGCGGAACCCGGCCCTCCTCTGTTGACCAAAGCAAGCTCCGCGCCCCTGTGCCTGTTGTTCATTGTTGACCAGGGTTAACAGCAGGTGGTGAACAGAGAACTAGGGTTGCTCCAGAGAAGTCGTTTATCGAACAGGCCTGCTTGTCCTAGGGGTGTGAAGGCTCTGAGAAAGAAATGTCACACCTGGGCCAGGCAGCCAGGGACTTCAAACCCCGGGGTTGACTCCTTCAGCACAGTTGCATGGTATTTTGCCCAGAGCGGCGCTCAACCGGAGAGTATCAGGTGGTTATAAAACCATGCGTTCTTGATTTGTCCGGAGTGGACTGTAGGGAGATGGAGTTTTATGAAGATTACCAGTCCCCGTTTGATTTTGACACAGGAGTGAACAAAAACTATCTTTACTTGTCTCCTAGTGGAAATTCGTCTCCATCTGGATCACCTACTCTTCAGAAGTTTGGTAACTATCGATTTTCTTTTCTTTCTTTTTTTTTTTTTAAAGATTTTATTTATTTATTCATGATAGACATAGAGAGAGGGGAGGGGGAGAGACACAGGCAGAGGGAGAAGCAGGCTCCATGCCGGGAGCCCAACACGGGACTCGATCCCAGGACTCCAGGATCATGCCCCGGGCCAAAGGCAGGCGCCAAACCACTGAGCCACCCAGGGATCCCCACTATTGATTTCCTAAAGTTAGATTTGCTGTAATAAAACTTGGACAGAACTCAGGGTTTGCTTGGCTTTAAAATTATGTAGTGTAAAGAGGTACTGTGTTGTTGTTGTGTTGAAACTAGTGAACAAAGCTGTTGAAGAATCCAAGCAGAGAGAGAAGTCACTAAATATTTAGAATATATTTTTTATATATAAAATAGGAACTTTGATTTTTTTAAAGACTTTATTCATTTAACAGAGAGAGAGCACAAGCAGGTGGAGCTGTGGGTAGAGGGAGAGGGAGAAGCAGGCTCCCCATCAAGTAGGGAGCCCGATGTGGGGCTCCATCTCAGGATCCTGGGATCATGACCCGAGCCAAAGGCAGATGCTTAACCAGGTCGACTTGCAGAGCCACCCAGGCCCCAGGAACTTAGGTTTTAAAAGTGGTACTATTTATATGAATGCTAGAGTTCCTCTGATCACTTTGAGTTCATTGAGCTGATAAATAACAAAAAAAGGGAGAGTCTGAAGGTCTTTGCTTGTGGCCATCTACATGTAATTCTTTAAGAGTCACCCCTGATTTTGTCTTTGTTCAAACGAGGCTGAAATATCTGAAGCCTTGACTTCATTTAAGGCCCTGCTTGTGGACATCCAGGATTTTGTTCTGGAATACAGAGACTAACATGCAGAAATACACAGGCAAGAGACTTTTTTTTTTTTTTTTAAAGAGAAGAATTCAGTGTTGCTGTCCCTTGGGCAGCAGTCATTCCTTCTCAGATGGCAGCATGACATTGTTCTGAAGGCCAGGTACCAGCAGGGAGAGGCTTAGGTTATGGACACGAGGCAGCCACGGGTCTGGAAGCAGCCCTTGCACATCAGGCCATTTTAGCTCATTTTACAGCTAAGGCTTGGAGACCCCTAGATGACTTCCTCTGTAACTTGCCAGAGAAGTAAGCAGATTTTCCTCGAAGTTAATTTTTTCCTTGTTAATGATTGGTCACATTTTGCTTTTTTTAAGTTTACAAAGTGGGTACTTAGGTGTGAGTATTTTTGGTTGTATACTTGCTGACAGCAGAGAGCTTACTGAAGCAACGTTACTCCAACCGGTTGGTTGCAGCCACAGCCAGCTTTGGGGTGTAGTTGGGATTTCCAGGCAGGGAACAATGTTGACAATAACAGGTTAGAACTGGTTTCTAGAAATGGAGACTGGGAGGCTGCCGTTAGATGTCTACCTGGGGTGTCAGGCTGCTTCCCTTCCCCCATCTCCGGGGCCCACCTTGGGCCTCTATTAATATAGGGGATCTCCCCTATGCCTGGCCCCTAACAGGATGGCACCATCCATCGTAACTTCTAAATCCTCCATGTAGGAAATGCTTCAGAAGCAACACACGGTAGGGAGTTGAAGCTCGATGGCAGAGTAAAGCCCGACAAAGGTTGGGGAAATAGCAGCTGAAGTTATGTGACTTCACGCAGATCTTGGTGATCAGTGTGTGTGGGAGTGTGAGATTTGTGGGAGGATTTACCTGGCTTTAGTTCTCTCTTCACCTCCTTTCACTTTTCCCAGTTGCAATAATTGCTGCCTTTGGATGTTTTCTATTAAAAATAAAGCAGTGGGGAAGTTTGAATATGTCTTGAGGCAAATTTTGAACAATTGTCTTTCCAAATCCTAGCAGCAATGTGTAGGAGTCTGGGCTCATGATATTTAAAAACAAATTTATTGAAAAAAAAAAGAGACAAGTGAACACCAAAAACTAAAAACAAACTCATGTACCCACTAGAGTTCCAGTTCAGTAGTTTGCCTTCATTGGAAAAAAGGAGGGGGAGAGAACGTTAAAACAAACAGAAACCACCCTAAGCAGTCATTTAGTAAGAACATGGTGATTCTGAAATATCCAAATAAAAGGATCTAGAACAGTCATCAGTAGTCCCTGTGCCTGGGACCCCTCAGGGCATAAGAAGCCTGCAAGTCTGTTTGAACATCAAGCATGGGGCATAGATAGAAGGAATGCTGTGTCTTGGGTGCCCTTGTACTCCTTTGTATTTCTCAGTAGGAGCTCTCAGGACAGATACATTCTAACTACATTTAAAAGTTCATGTGGCTTCTGGTCACTAGGCATTTTCTTTTTCTTTTAAAGATTTATTTATTTATTTGAGAGCGAGAGTGCGCGTGTGAGCGTTCGGGGTGGGGGGGTGCACAGAGGGAGAGGAAAATTCTAAGCAGACTCCATGCTAAGTGCAGAGCTCAACACAGGTCAATCTCATGACCCTGAGATCATGACCTGAGCCGAAATCAAGAGGCGGCTGCCTAACCCACTGAGCCATCCAGGCAGCCCCCACTGTGCATTTCCTTAATCAGCAGACAAGTAGTGTACAAAAGGGACTGGTTAAAAGGAATCCTACTCAGAAAGGTTGGGAGCACTGATCTGAAAAACATACTCTTTGATATTTATCCAGGCCATCATGGGGCAAATGGGCAAGTAATGAGATTGAATCTATGGGCAAAATGTCCCTAAGAAGCAGTCTGAGTGAAGGATAGGATGAAGGCCTGTGGCTAGGACAAAGAGAGGTTTTCTGTTAGGGTTTTTTTAAGTGCTTTGGTACGACCAAGCCACATTCAGAATACCTTATATGTCTTGACCCACAACCCTCATCAATACAAATAGCCATCATTGAGGCAGGATTCTGTGAAAACAGAACTTATCTTTACTATTCATGGTGTATTCTGATATATCATTCCATTTGTTCTTTTTAAAATGCTCGTTTGGTACTGCTAAATGGATTTTCACAGTCCATGGTTTGAAAAACTGACTTTTTTTTTTTTTTAAACTGACTTCTAATTTTCAGAATCTGGAATGTAAGTTCCATTAGGGATGTGAGTCTTTTTTGATCACTGTTCTTCCCTACGGCTTGAGGCCAAGAGAGGTGTTGTAAAGCCCCAAATCACAAAGCTCAGCCCCCATTGGGTCTCACACTCATCCCTCTGTCGCCAAGCTAGTGATTTTTTACTTTTTGATCTCATTCTCTTGGCCTCTTTGGCGATAGATATTATAGAACAGGTTAATCATTCCAGGTGTAATCTCTTGTCCAACAAGGACTTTACCATGGGGGGTAGCGTGTTGATTGCTTATGCCCCACTTTGACATGGACTCCATTGGTTTTTGCACTTGATGGTCAGCACAGCCGTCTCTCTGCTAGTGTCCTGTGCTGCATTTTCTCATCCCTCAGTGAACACCTACACAGATAATTTCCCAAGTCCTTTTTATGTAGAACCACTCTTCCTCTTGATTTTTTTTTTTTTAATGTACAGAAAGACGCAGCCCTGTTGTATGAAACAAACACCTTTGGTTATTTCTAGTGACTTCAGGAAATAGGAGCAGGAGCCATTTAAACATCTGACATTTTAGTTTTATGCTGTCATATTTGAAACTCTAAAACCAAGCTAGAATTCCTTAGCTCAGAGTCCTTTTCATATCTGTCTTATTACCTTTTTGGTTTCTACTCTGTGTCATTCTCACTTCTTTTTAGGGAAGTCATTATTACTTCTTGAAAGTTACGTGTAATTAATTGTGAAGGTCTTCAAGAGCAGATAACGTGGTTTACGAAGTAAAAATCAGAGCAGAATTGAAGATACGAAGAACTTATTCCTACAGAGGAAATTTAAGAATGGAAATGACACCCTCCCTGGGGACCCCTGCATTGCTCCATGGCTGACCTTTGATCTGTCTTTTGTTGAGTTGTCCTAGTTACTCATTTTACACTTGATTGGGGTTGGGAGAACAGATGGTTCTGAAGTAAGCACCTGAAGATCCCTCCCCCTCTTTTTTTTTTTTTTAAGATGAAAGAGACTTAAGGGTCAGTTTAGGAATTTCTGGAGGAGGTGAGTAAAGCATTTGAAAATACTAATGTGTTCTACCTTTGTGATCTTTCCTTCCTCCTCCACTCTTTCTGTGAGGTTTTGGGAGGGTGACCTTTTTGGGTTGCAAGTTGACCTCTGACCAGGGCTCTGCTTTCAGAGCCTTCTCTGCCCATCTGGGTCCCAGCTCTCTTTTCTCTTCTGGCCTGAGAGCTGCCTGCCTCCCCTCCTCAACCCACTTATACTCCTCTTCAGTGGCCCTGATACTGCCCAGTTCATCTCTTGGGTTCTGGTTCTTTCCCCAGATGGAGTGGGTCAAGGTTCCTCAGCTTTTTGTTCCTTGCTGCCCCAATGACAATTAGTAGACTCATTTTTCTCTCCTACTCTTGTACGGTATCACCACCGGCAAATATGGAAAGATTATATCCTTAAGAAATACAGCGTTTTCATGGCCTGTGCTACTGAATTGCTTTCTTCTGAAGATAATCTGTGTCAAATGGCAGGTACTCCCTTGCCGAAGTCAGTAGTTTTCAACCTAGGGCAGTTTTTCCCTCCTGCAGGCCTTCTGGCCATGCCAAGAGCCAATTTTGAGATGATTCTGGTTGTCACAACAGCACTTATCTTTGGGGACGTCAAGTGGGTGAATGCCTGCATGCCACATGGGGTGATGCACAGGACAGCCCCAACCACAATGCTCCTGCTCAAAATGCCCCCTTGTGCTGTGCTTGAGAAGCCCTGTGTTAAATAGATCTTTTGTGTTTAGGGGTTTTTTCTTTCTTTCTTTCTTTCTTTCTTTCTTTCTTTCTTTCTTTCTTTCTTTCTTTCTTTCTTTCTTTCTTTCTTTTTTAAAGATTTTATTTATTTTTTTATGAGAGACACACAGAGGCAGAGACTTAGGCAGAGGGAGAAGCAGGTTCCCTGTGGGGAGTCCAATGCAGGACTCGATCCCAGGACCC